TCGAAATGAAAAATTCTGCTTCAAGATTGGATTGTATCTGTACCTGAACTAATAGTGATAGGAAGTGAAGTAGTTGAGCGTGTCGACCACTTTACTTATCTTGACAGTTTCATCAGTGCCGATAGCCTGGTGACTGACGAAATTTCAGTAAGGATACAGAAGGCTTGATTGGCTTTTGCCAACTTGCATCACTTATGGCTTAGGCGACTAAAGGACGAGTCTACTGTGCATTAGTTCTCTCCGTCCTACATTGTGACTGTGAAACAGAGTAGGCGATATTCGTAGGTCTCTGGTTTTCGATAACAGGTGTCTCCGAAGCTCATGTATCGTGGGAAAACCGAGTAAGTAATGTTGTTGTTAGGAAACGGGTGCTAGGTAAGGATAGCAGGTCAATAGGTGAAGTATTCAAACTTCATCAGTTGAGGTGGTTGGGGCATATGTTGCGTATGCTCAACCACCGACTGCCTCGACGAGTTATGTTTTTCGATGTAGGAATAGGTTGGAAGAAGGCTAGGGGCGGTCAGACCAAAACATGGCACAAATCAATGAAGTCACTGAGTCATGTTGACAGGTGTCGACTACCTGATTGGGGCCCGCGAGATGGTAGTAATCGATGGTTAGAGACCCTAAATGACATGGCTCAATGGCGCAGGTGCATCCATTCTTTGTGTCTCTCAAACCTTGACCTTCTTAATTCCTCATCACTATCTTTTTCTTTTTGAGTTTATTTTATTAGATTCTACTTCTTGAATAATATTTCCGAATCCTAATCTCTCTGATTACTGCTAATACCTTTACTACCTCTACTACTATGGGATTTGAATTTACAATTACATCTCTTTGTCAATGTGGTATAAGGCAACTTGAACTGATGTACGTACGTACGTTGCTGTTGATTGATTGATTGATTGGTTGATATCTATTTTACCCTGTTGGTAAAAAGCCATAACTATTCAATTTGTCATTATAAGGGTTGTGAAGATTGTTGAATTTCATTGAAATCATGATTTAACCTTAATAGTGACAATCATCATATACTCACTAGTGACTAGGTTTGTGAAAAAAATTCCCAGATTTCTAGTATGATGTCATGACCAGCGGAGTTCAACCGTGTCAGGTGTAAGGCAGTAACCAAACAAACACAATGGATGAGGTCAAGCAATAACATGGATTGGTTGGAGTGAGATATTAACTCTGTTGGATGTTGGTTTAGTAGTCTACAGTTTAGGCTTTGACGCACGAGACCGAAGGTTCTAGGTTCGGTTCCCGCCTGTGGGTGCGTATAGCCATTATTAGGAACTTTCATAAGAATACAAAACAGCCATTCAATGCTTTTAGGGTTTTAATACTGATCTAACATTGATTGATTCGTGAATTCAACATTAAGTCTGTTATTTTAATCGGATCAAATAAAATGGATTTTAATGCATCATTTCTAACCGTATTAAATTATTACATTTGTGCTAAGCTTCACCCAATTGCACAAGTCAATGGTTATCTGGACTTAGTTGGCTAAGTAAATAACGTGATAACATTTAAAGTGAACAATAGTGAGTTCACGTTTTCGAGTGAATATCAACTCTAGGATACAGGTACATCCAGTCAACCAGTTCCGAATAGAACGAAATGACCGTCCTGCATTCCATTGCTAGAGACCAACCTTTACTGATTAGAAAGATGTGTGTGCTTTGTCTGTATATGTTTATAGACCTATCTGAATGTCTATACATTATTTATGATGTATACTTAATAATACCGAAGAGAATGGCAATGACCCTTGTGATTTGTGTCTGCTCACTTGATATAATAATGCTCTCTCAGTCTGCTACATTATATGCATCAACTATATGTATCATATACATTCCATATCTGACTTTGTTTTCGATCGCTGTACAATGAGGTTAGCTAGAGTATTATAGTATATGAAAATTAAATAGGGAGTAGTTTAAAACTCGAATACACCTAAAGGGTAAAGAATAAAAAAAACATGTTATTCTTATAGTAGCCCTATTATATGCTTGACTGAATGTATCTTTAGGTCATTATTACTCTAGTACACTTTCAACTTTCTTTGAGTTCAGCATGAATATTGATTGAGAATATTTTATACACATCAGTTAAATGCTGAAGCGTCCATTTGAAATCTCTCACAAAATGTCACATGTTGTTTAATCTTCTGGTATTTAGTTATCAATGTTTGTTGGTCGCTCAAAGATCTAAATCTAATACGCATAAATATTCGTCAAAAGTTTGATTAACTGTCTAATTTAACAAATTGGAAAGTGACAGAAGCAATTAAATTACAAACTTCGTTATTGTTTAATTGAAATGATGAACTGATCAATCTTAGACGGACATTGGAAACCTGAAAGCCCTGGACTGCCGTTTCGTCCTAGTATGAAACTTCTCAATGGCAGTGAGCATCCACCAACCCGCAAGCAACAACTGAACCCAAAACCTTCGCAGACGCTTAACCTGTAGACCACCGAGCCAGCATCCAACAGTGTTATGTTTCGCACTAGTATTGAAATCCTTTGCAGTAACCACTCAAAACCACAAAGGGTATCGTAGCTTAATCCTCAAAGCAGTTCTCCGCTAAGGAGTCTCACGTTAGGATAGAATAACCGTCTAATATCCCCTGGTTTCCAATAGTATCTTCAATGAGATCGATCTGCGAAGAATACAACCTATTAATCAAGTCAACCTCCTACAAAGCCCTTTAACTAAATTGCACTATATTAGATATCAACACAAACTACAAAAAAAAACCGATTTTAATGAAACATACAGACGGAAATTCAAACATTTTCTTATGGTACAAAATAAACCTACAAAGTCTTAAACATTTTTTTTGAAACCATGAACCGATCAATGTTAGACCACCATTAGAAACCTGGAAGCACTGGACGGCCGTTTCGTCCTGGTATGGGACTCCTCAGCAGTGCGTATCCACGACTCCTGCACCCCGCAGGATTCGAACCCAGGACCTCCGGTATTGTGCGCGAACGCACTAACAGATAGACCACGGAGCTGGTCTAACATTGATCGGTTCATGGTTTCAAAAAAAAAGTGTGTAACTTAACAATCTTCACAACCCCGTAATGCAAAGTCTTAAACGCCAACCACCCTACATAAAACAATATAAAAGTAAGTTGTACAAAGAATTAGATAAATTTGTAAATTATGTAAGAAATAATCCTGTGTTTTATTTTTGCTTATATCAAGAAAGTCTTATATCTTAGACGGTTTTCCCAGAAAAACAATTTAAACTTTATCCACAAAACAGTAAATTCAAAACTCAAACAATAATTTCTCCAAATCCAGTTATCATCAATAGTGGCCTTACTTCAGTGCATTCATTAAACAAAAATTGCAGTACACATGGATCCAGTTTATTTTACAGTATATCTTAGAGAAGTAGCAAGTATTGGATATTCCTTTCGTATTAGTATAGGACTCTTTAGCAGTGTACATTCATCACACCCTACCTGGGGATGAACTTAGGACGACCTAATACTAACTATTTATGCGTCATTACTCCAAAACTTAAGATAGTTAAGCCTCATAGTTCACAGTTTTCAAGTAGAAATGTGGAAATTAGCTTGCGAAAGTAGTTACTAATGAGTTTATTATTATCATCAGTGTGATGAGACAAAAGATTTTGTATTGGCTAAACGATACCCCAGTATCTACTTCAAGTTCAAATCACGAACAAAATTATCAAAATGGACTGACTGATTTCAATCCTTGTTAAATTATTCTTATTTTAGGAAGTTCAGGTCTATATTCAAATCATATTGTCTAGAATAACAGTGATTGGCTCCACAGAATACCTACCTACCTAACATAGAAAATTTAAGGACTAAATGAAAATATAATTTTATAACCACGTGCAGCTAGCTAGCTATCAACTGATCGATATTGTGGGCTGAAAATTGCATAAACAAGAATTTTCTGCCAAATTTATTCAAATCACCAACATAGTCACTTGTTAAAATATATCACTTTTATGTTCAATGACTGACATATTTTAATTAATTTTAAATTTGGAAAAAATGACTTAAATCCATCATAAATAGACAAGAAGAGATTATCATATACTCATCAAATTATAAAAATATTTACCTAACGTTTGAAATAATTTATACTCAAAATACCATTTATATTTTGTGCTCTTCATAGCCTTTGTGTCTTAGTATGGGACTTCTTAGCAGTCTGCATTCATAACCTCATCAAGAACAGAAACCAGAACCATCAAGTCTTACAATAAGCAGTTAACTATTAAATGTTGAGATTGTACTAACATATGTCAATCCAGTAGTTTGAATGGTTAAGAGTATACTGACAGAGATTTGAAGATACCTTGTTAGCTTCTTGATTGGGTAGTGGGTTCTCATAGTTAAGGATTCCCATACCGCAACCAAAAAGATTTCCACTAATACCTGGTTTCAATGGTATCTGAAATAAGATCAGTTTGTGATAAGTACAACCTACAAGTTTTACCAATCTCCGCAAAAACAATACAACTGAACTGGAATTCTACTTTTTGACATTCCGAAAGTGAAAAGGATATACTTCAGACATAATATTGAGTAGATTACAATAGACATTAACATTATATGGTGTAGTATGTTTGAGGCATATGGTCAACTCATATCAACCACATTGGAGGAATTTGAAACAGACTGAAAAACAAACTGACTTACGGATATAAAAAAAGAGCTCTAAACTAGCAATGTTACAGTTCCTAATCAATCGTCATTAGGGTCTAGTTAGATTTAAAATGGAAGGGATCTAGAAGAGCAACTAGAGGATACAGATTTCATATAATGAAAATTCTTTATCCTTCATCGGATATTCAAAGTTAAGGAGTAACTTTTTGAAAGCAACACTTTGAAACTCTTCAATTTTTTTGATCACTTCTGATTTTAAATAAGCATTAATAAACAATTTTAACTACAGTTGATACATGAAATTATTTTTATAAAAATATTACTTACTCTTGAATGATTGTAGTAATATTAGCTTTGTCCAGATTTTTGTCACAACTGCCAATTGATACTTCATTGAAATTATCTTGTTTTAATGAAACAGACAATGATGATGATGATGATGATGAAAATGTTGAATCTGACACATCTTTACCAAATGTTCGTTTTCGTGGTATTAAACCAAGTGTCTTACAATATTGTTCATAAGTAATCAATCCTGTATGCTCAGGATCAAATAATTCGATCCATTTTTGCAAGAAAGTTTCTTTATAATGCATTTTACTCATATAATTTCTTAAATCTTCAATTGTAATCACACCTCGCTTCTCAGTGTCTAAGGTATCAAAACATTTACGAAATTCAGCCATAGTTGTGTTGTGATAAGACTCGATACCAGAACGAACAGATTTATATTCCGGTTCTTATCGAATTGTTATTGTATAATTGAACAATACAAGATGTTAAGTTTCTTGTAAAATGAATAAGTACACCAATGCAATATGTATGGGAATATGGCTTGTTTATTGCAATGCCACGTGTAAAACATATGAAAAAAAAACTTAGAAGTACATGGCTACTTTGTACAACCTACGCAAAGCTATCCGGATTGGTTAGTGTAAACTGTAATCGATGGGCCGAAAACTAGTCAGACATTTATTAACCAATCAGATAAATAATCAACATTTTTATTCAACCAATCAAATTTTTCTAGATGCTTTATTATTTTTGTCAAAAAATATGTTTAAACATCAGAGCGACATACACGACCAATAGATGTAGCTTCCATGTTTGTCCAAGTGACCAAGATTTTGTTTGAGCGCTACGGTTTCAATATCTACGAATGTGTCGTACATGTTATCTAACCTTATGAAACATCCAATACATAACGATCGGGCAAATTAAACACATGGTGTGGGTGCGAATAGCTTAAAACTATTATTTATTTTAGCTTAGTGTATCATTTACCGACTGAATCTTTGTATCCCAAGTTAACTCTCTTTTCTTCATCTAATCTTGTCTATTTGAAAAAAAAAACATTATAGAAGACACTTTTGATAGGGTTCTGTTAAGATGCTTTAAATTAACAGTATGTACTTGCCCTACAATGACCTCAGAGATTGAAAACCAAGAAAGGCTGACTAGCTGTTGAATCACAGTATGAAGCTGTTTAGTAGGACTGGCCAACAGCCTAACAGAAATTGAGCAGATGACCTTTAAATCTCAAAGTGAATATTTATCCATCAAAATAATCTGATCAGTATGTTACAGCACAATTTCAAATCCAGTTGATTTGTGATGCACCGTATTAAGTATTCATCTCCGCCTGGAGCCCCTCTAAGGCTACTGCCGGTCCTAATCCCGGATAAAGGAGGAGGCTTGAGCATGGGGTTAGCGATCTCGTCCTGTAGAGAACTAAGTCACAACAAAAACGCTAACTAGAAAAAATAATTCAAATCATTATAACTCTACTATGACAGTTAGAAGGTCTTCTTCCAGAAGAATTATGACATCTCATGATGAAAGCCGAGTTCTCTCAGAAGTCATGAGGCCGATGCCGCTTCTGACAACTAGAGCAACCATTCTTTTAAGTACATGGAACTTTCGAACTTTGTGAGACACCGGAAGACTGTTCTATATTGCTGCAGAGATGAAAAGGTACAACCTGGAGTTGCTTACAATCAGTCAAACATATTGGACGCAGGCTGGACTACTAAGACCAACTTCAGGTAGGCTGGTGTTATACTCCGGCCATGAAGAAAAAAATGCCCCAAACACAAAGATGTGCACTGGTGCTGTTCAAACACGCACAAAAGGCATTGATAGGATGGGGATCTCATGAAATCAGGATCAACAAAGAATCCTTCAAAACAGGGAAAAAGGGCATTACAATGAACGTCATCCAATGTTATGCACCTATCAGTGATTACAATGAAGTTGTTGAAGATCAATTCTACGAGGGGATGCAACCAATCGTCGACAGATGCCCATTAAAGGATTTGACGATTCTGATGGGATATCTAAATGCCAATGTTGGCATGGACAACATCGGATATGAAAACATCATGGTACGACATAGACTGTGAGAAAGGAACGAAAATGATGAGAGATTTGCAAACTTATGTGCCTTCAACAAACCGGTCATCGGTGGCACAATATTCTCACACAAATGCATACACGAAACTACATGGATTTCACCAGATCACTCACAAACTCATATAACCAACCAGGCAACAGTGGATACGAGGTAGAACACCATCCTCATGCTACATATATGCTACACCTTTCTATTTTTCCTTCATTTAGTCTCCTGAGCCCATGTCTACGACCATCGACCTGTTGGTACCGTCGACTTCAGTCAATCCTGGTGAACGCTGGCCTGATCACCCTCCATCTTGTCAATGCAGTCAGTCGATGTTATGGTTCCAAATGTTCTTGTTGGGATATTCATCCAATATCATAAGAGAATTATTGGTCAATTCCTATTGGTAGATTCCTACTGGTCAATTTTATGATCATCCTACATATCAGTGTCACGTGCTCCAATGTTGCTGCTTATTGGTTGTCCTAACTATCAATGTCACTTCAAATGTTGCTTCCTATTGGTCGTCTTAACTGTCAGTGTCACAAACTTCGATACTGTTTCCTATTCGACCAAAATGTATAAATACGCATTATGTGTGACGTTTTATGACCAGGACCATGACCCGGTCCCGGATCCCTAGTCTGGGATCCTGATTCTCTTCTGGACTCGGACCTCGTACTTTCTGGATGCTTGTAGAATACACGTTCTACTTCATATCAAGTCTTCTTACTTTTATTCAATATGGGGGTTGGGATAATTGGATTGAGTAGCATGTCGTGTCGCCTGCTCCTCGATCTTCGATCTCGTTTTCCGACTAGGTAAATTCGTAATAGTTCAAGCATATCAAAATGACGTGTTTACGTGTAGGCGTAACAGTTCTTGTATACGTATTGTTTCGAACTTGGACGTAATGGCGTTTCTGGTTCCCTCGCTCAATCTGGTTCCGTCCTACGTCTGCACCTTTTTCTGGCCCAAACCACTACGAACGCAATCTTCAAACTGTGGATACGAGCCACACTGGTGTGGCATGCCAACTCGAGCAGCAAAACCTGACACGTTACTACTGGTACAGTTCAACGTAGAAGACTTTCGTTGACAAGTCGAGCTTCATTGGTTGCTTCCTGTTCGTCAACTCTTCCGCACTACAATCGCACGTTGGCCAACCAGCCCTCCCCCAGAACGAAGCCCCTACGTATCGAAGGTGTGAACTTTTTCTAGGGGGGGGGGAACACTTCAACGAAGAAAACGTGATTGATGAAAAGGAACATTTATTATTGTACTGCTTTTGTTTAACTGTACCAAAAACACTCTTGCGCGCAACGTTCTTTTCGCGTTGCTGCCATTTTTTCATAACTTGCTGCTATATGTAACGCCTACTTTCTCCTTCAAATAAATAATGAACCACGGATTTATTTTTGATTTATGTGATGGGATAGTATGGAACATTTAGTGGTGATCATAGTCAATTTCTACTCTGTTACCACTAAAACTTCATAACCACTTCAGCGAGATTTGGGATGAAGAAACAGTACCATGGGACTGGAAAGAAGAATACCTCATCAAAATACCAAAAATGGCGATCTCAGCAAGTGTGAGAACTACAGAGGCATCAATCTTCTCTCAATACCAGGCAAAGTCTTCAACAGGGTAAAGTTAAACAGAATGAAAGACTTTTTAGACGCTCAGCTTCGAGATCAACAGACTGGATTCCCTAAAGATCAATAGTGTACCGACCAAATTGCAACATTACGGATCATTGTGCTACAATCGATTGAATGTAATTCACCACTCTACATCAACTTCATTGACTACGAGAAAGCATTGGACAGCGTGAACAGAATGACACTATATAGGCTTCTTCAACAGTACGGCGTGCCTAAGAAAATATTCAACATCATTCGGAATTCTTACGATGGATTAAACTGCGAAATCGTGCACAGAGGACAGCTCAAAGACCAGTTCATAGTGGAGACTGGTGTGAGGCAAGGTTTCTTACTATCAAGCTTTCTATTTTTCATTGTGATTGGCTGCATTATGAAGACGTCAACTTCTAGAGGGAAGCACAGTATACAGCGGACAGCCAGGATATAACTGGACAGTTTGAACTTCGCAGAACACATAGCCCTTCTATTGCACACGCAGCAACAAATGCAAGAGAAGACGACCAGTGTAGCAGTGGCCTCAAAAGCAGCTGGTCTCAATATTCACAAAGGGAAATCATTCACCAACCGAATCACAGTTGACGAAGAAGCTTTGGAAGAAGTAGAAACCTTTACATATTTAGGCAGCATCATGAATGAGGAAGGTGGAAATGATGCAAATGTCAAGGCGTGAATCAGCAAAGCAAGGGCTGCATTTCTACAAATGAACAACATCTGTAACTCAAAACAACTATCAACCAACACTAAACTCACAATTTTCAAAACAAACGTCAATACAGTTTTTGAGCGAACAATGATTGCTCGGTTTATCACACTACGTTTTTGCAGTTCAAATCAATTTTACCTGTGTCATTCAATTTTCTGCTTTATTATTGTCTGTAGCCTGAGAATTGAAGATTTTAATAGTGTTGTAACATTCCATTTTTTAGGCCGCTCTTCCCTACATGGAACTGATGGACCTGGAATTTTATTGATTGCCACTTGGACATATATATATTGTAGTGGAATGCTTTTACGAAGAGAACGAGATTGGTGAAATGAAAACATTCATTATTATAACCAATTCAACCAGTGTTTGTTTAACTGTACTTTTTGTTTATAACACTTTTTTACGCGCAACTTTCTGTTTTGTGTTGCTACCATCCTTGATCTAGCTGCTCTTTATTTCGGCTACTTTCTTGGTATAATTTCGGTATTCTATTGACACCATGAAATCAACAGAAAATATATTATTCAGCCTGGATTTGTTTGTCTTCTCAGTGATGGGCTAGTAATTAGTATTTAGTGGTGATCATAGTCGATCTCCACTCCACTCATTCACAAAAACATATTACTATTTCTACTTGTTCATGAATAGTCATGTTAGTGTAGTAAATCAGTATTGCTTTTTGGCATACTTTTAATTGCTTTGTAGTCATCACATCTTAACTACTCTTACACATCCACCTCAAGAGTCACACGCTAAAATGTGACATATGTTTAATCCCCTTCTGGTGTACAATTGTAGTGAAGGAGAATACAGGTGTGGACAACCGAATTGTATTTAACGAAAATCACAGAGTTACTCAGTAGTAAAATCGGAAAACCATATCGTAAATCGTTAATTTGCAAATATTCAATCCATCATCAATCCATTGTTTGACATTTCACTTATTCATGCGTTTCATACAAATTCCATTGTGTTCTAACTCTTCCTTCCTTGATCTTCCCTCATCTTCTGCTGCCAGACATTACGTTTATACTCACGTCATATACTACTTATAAGTAGCGCGCACCACACAAT